ATTTAGATAGTAGCCTAAATGAACATAAGTATGGTCAACCCATAAACTCATGGATAGACTCGTTTTATAAAATAAATATTATTTGATAACTAAAAGTTAAAGTTATATTATTTCATTTAAATATACACATGTATTATAAACTATTTAATTTAAGAAAATATTCACTTGATTGATCCAACAATAACAGACTAGAGACCTACTTTTCATTTTTCACCATTCATTCTCTTATAATATACTGATTATATCATTAGTTAAAATTATTTTCTAATTAATTTTTGGGATAAATAATTTTTATATAAACATGTTATAGTATTTTTTTTATTTTCAATCAAGTTGAAATTGATTCATTAATCTAACATAAAATCAAATAGATAAAAAAATTGGTTCATTTTAAAATATAGGTTATGTAATCACCCCAAAATATATCTACCATAAATATAAAATTCAAAAACACAAAGTAATTCAAAATATAAATTTCTTCTTCGTAGAAAAATGTGTATTATATATATAATATAACAAAATATAAATTTACAAAAAAAAAATCTAAAATCCTATGGCAGAGGGAAGGGGGACTGGCGGGAACCATGGTAAAAAAAATATTTTAAAATTTTATTAAGAAAATATATAATAACCCTCCAAAAAAATATTTGTTTGGACTAACTCCTAAAACTAATTTTTTAGCTTCATCTCTATTTAGGATTATTTCTGTCTAATACCTATATCATCTACTACCGTAAACATATAATCATTACACTTTAAAGCTAACAAACAAAAAAAACATTTAAAAACTTGAATTTGCTATGAGAAAAATAATATATACATTTCTAAGTATATTAATGCTACACAAATTCATTTGAAAGTTGGTACATCATTTGATTGATGTCATTTAGATATCACATCATATCTATATAAGGCCATATTCATATCACACAAATTCTATATATGACTTTCAGAAGACTAGATATTACATTAAACTAAAAAATTATGTACCTATCATACCACAACTTCCTCCAAGTGTTTAACATTAAGGTTCTATTATCAATGATATATATATATATATATATATATATATATATATATATATATATATATATATATCTTGTGTGAGTATAGTAAATTCCTAATATTGATATGCTAATAGTGAGTACACACCTATATCAAGTAAGAAGAATATTTATCATCTCTCACTACTTGAGTCATTTATTTATGTTATGTAAGTGATATGTAAAATTGGGATAATCTCTTATTAAATTCTCAATTCAATATTGGTACACATTATATAAGAATAATTTCTTGTCATTTCTCACATTACAATACACCATCATAATTACATAAAGGAATAACATACACATCTCATAATTAAAAAAATCATTTAAATAGTTAAGTATTTAATTTAACAATCTAAATACAATGATATATAACAATTAATTTTATTCAATTAAAAACACTTTTTAAAGCATTTAAAGTTATAAGAATTTATTATTTTTACCATTGAGCAAAATTAAATCTATTGAACATAATTATCACAATATAAAAAGTGCATAATTTATCAAATACCTTATTTTCAAAGTACCAATCAAATTCAATCCAAGTCATTCCTTCCAACTTGAAAACCAATCCACCAAATTAAATATAAGGGCAGTATAATAATAATGTAAAATATTAAATATCATAGAAACTAATTACCAACTCATTCAAACTTAATTAAAATCAACATACAATAAATAGATACAATTGTATAATTCAATTTTTTTCAATTCAAACAATGTGACAAAGTTGTCTTCACAATTTAGATCTTCTAACCTTGAATACTATAAATATTGAAAAATAGCTAACTTAACTTGTATCAAACACAATATAAATCCCTTAAATTTACATGCAAGATAATCTACAAATTGGAAAAAGAAACTTACTCAAATAAAAATTATAATTTTGGCTATTCCAAGAGAACTAATGTTTGGATATGAAAAAAAAATGAAAAGGAGAATGAGAAAACTAAAACAAATTAGTTGTAGAGAGATTATGATTTTATATAAATAAAATTTTAATGATTAAGGTTTCTATTTATAATTTTTTTTACTTAACGTGTAAAACTTTAAATTTTATCTACTTTTATTTTTTAAAACTTTTAATATTTAAATATTTTCATTTATCACGTGAAGATCCTTTAAGGAACAATCCCATAAGCTTAATAGAATGAACCATGAGGGCCAACCACTACAATAATGAAAAGGACCACGTTGAACCATCAAACTCATAACTATAAAGAAGTTCATGCCATGTGTTTATTATTTGGATTGGACTATTTTAAAATCCTCAATTTACTTTACGACTAAATTACTATTTTAGTCCCTATATAATTAATACTGTTATATGAATATTTGAATTTCAGAAATTTTTTGACATCTTTAATTTGAAAGTGTAATTTATCACACTCTAGTTTAATATTTTAAAAAATTACAACATAAAATAATAACATATGTTTAATAATTAAGATGATAGTACATAATTAAATTTAAAAATTTAAATAAAAGAGTTAAATTTTTCAAAGACTTGTTTAAATTTTTCTTAATTTCAAAATATTCATACTTTCATAATGGTAGTTTACTGTTACTTTAATGTATAAAATAAAAAGAGAAAAATATCTTTGTTTGATAAAAAAACAAAAAAACAAACCAATTATCAATAAGATATAAAAAATAAATTATCTTAACTTGATATTTTCGATGGACAGATTTACCCTTTTTGGTTCCTTTCAATTGTCCGTTTCTAAAAGACTTTTGTTTTAGTTTATATATAAATTTTAAGATCACACTAACTGTTTTTTTTTTCAATTATATTATTATTATTTCATATCATCTTTAACTAATTGACTCTTATGAATTTATTATAAAGTAGTAATAAAAATAAATACAAATAAAATTTTCATAAGTATTTTATTAAAATTAAAATTTTATATTTTTAAAGGATTTAATTATTTTTAGTTCATTATTTATTTATTTTATCTAATCTCATATCATTCTGCTAATAAAATATTTAATGAAGTTTTATATGTCAGTTGAAAATTAATATGATTGGTTAATACAGAGAGATTATGAATTATTTTGAGGGGCTTTGTTTAGGGTTGCATTGCAGTGAAAGGAAGTGTTAGGTTAGAGTTTGAAAAGAGTAAGTGGTAGACAGCATCAAAGTGTAGGAACCGTGTGGCCTACGAATAGGGGGCAAAGGCACCGTCCTAACTCAAAGCCACGTGATATTGATGATTAATACTATAAATTATATATATATATATATATATATATATATATATATATATATATATATATATATATATATATATATATATATATATATTCAAAGAAATTCATAGCATCTCTAATTAAACTTTTACTCAAGAGTACAACTGTTAAAATAGGTTTACTAAAAATGTGTTTACTTTTTTATATATTTTTTGATGATAAGATACATATTTATACGTTGATTAATCATATAAATGTCTTTCATTATACTAAAATTAGAATAGTAATTATTTTAAGATAAAAAAAACTAACTAAAGTAAATAAGATTGACAGTTTCTAATTAGACTTTTTTTAATATTATTTATTTTCTTTCATTTGAAGATACATTCATTATTTTTTTCTGCAATTGTAGTAAATTTAAGCATCTCAAATTATTTGTGTCAATTTGATTCTCTTAAATTGGCCAATTTTTTTACTCTAAATTGAATTTTTATTATCTTCCAAAGAAATTATTAATCGTTAAAATAATCTTAGTTAAATTTTCCATTGTAAATCTAAAGTATAATTCAGCATTAAAAGATATTTATAAATTATGAAATTATAATATAACTTACCCATCTAACATCCTCTTATTATAAATTTAATTAATACAAAACAAATATTTATTTTCTCGATATGATATCATCGTTAAAATTAATTTCACGAGATATTATTTATTTTAAGATTTTTATCTGTCATAATTAAAATGCGACTTACTAAATTAAAAAAATATATATATAATCTACAGACTCATATATTTATATACTGAAAAGAAAAACTTACATAAATAAATTTTTAATATTTTAAAAAATTATCCAATTTCTACCTCAACTCAAAGTAATAAAAAATTAAGATCCTCTTTATCTATATTACCATTATTAACAAAATAATTTAATCAAATGCATGTTTAGTAAAAAGATTGCACTACTGCTATCTATTATATTAAATGTCGTATTTAATAACTTTTAAACTTATAATAATTATATTGAAAATCGTCTAAAAATATATAATGTTTATATTCTCACTGTGTACGTATGATAGATAATTAACGTACAAAGACGTCCACACACTCTAAAGAAGTTAATATTTCATTGAGAAAGTCCAAGAAATCGATCAACGGTCATGATCATCTGAACGGCTATTCCTAAGGACACAATCCAACGGCACTCAAGACTCTGGCGGTCACCGTCCTACACTATTCTTTTCCGGTAACCGACCGCAGCAAACGGTGACTTCCTTTTAAGAATTCCAAAATATTAATTAATTTATACACCACGTTACATTAAATTATGCACTGTGCAAAAAGAAAATTCAAGTGAACTCCATAGTTTTGCTTCCAGGTATATAAAACCAAACAGGTCCTAATGAACGTGGAGTCATGGCATGCACAGATTCATTTCGTGGGATCAAAATCTCCATTTTACGTTTACTATCTTTTCTTATATGTAAGGTCAAGTGAAGAATTGTTCTCTTCATCTTATTTTCATTTTCTTGTAGGTCAAGTAATAATCTTGTTTTGCTTTCATCTCTATCCATGTTGTTTCAATCTCAGTGTTCTTCATCTTATTCCCTCACAATTTTCTTTTTAAAAATGACTTAAGTTTAAAAAAAAGTGACATCAACTCCAAATGAAGAGAAGCTATTTTTCTGAAGCACCACTTTAAAGTTATTTTTGTCACGTATAATAGTTCTACGTTACCTTGTTTGGTTGGAGCATAAAAAATGAATGGTGTTTTGAAACCTCATCACCAAGATGAACAAAGAGTTATTGCTCCCAACAAGCAAAACAGAATGAAAATCCAGAAGAAGAACACTAGAAGCAAGTTCATGTCAAATCCTTGTGACAATGTTGGAAACTATGCAGGTCTCATGAATCTTCCTCCTTCTTATCCATTTGCGTTGTCTTCTTCATTTTACTATCATCACCAAAACCAGCAACCGCCACTACTTCCTTTACCCTCAGTTTCTCCAAGTGTGGTGAGGAACAGTGGAAAACACAGAAGCAAAGAAATTTCCAATAGAAAATCAAAACAAACCATGAGAGAGGAAGTGCTTCATACTACTCCTGTGGTTTATACGTCGTCGTTTAGATCACCGGCAATGACTGGGAAAGGATTTGGTTTTGGCACCGAAAACGTGGATTTTTCAAGTTGGGTGTTCAATTTGTCACCACCACCAAGCAGTTTGCCAGTGCCAAAGTTTTGCATGAGAAGATCAAAGCTTAGTTGCAATGCAGAAACAAATTAAAGACGAAGTTGTTGTCCTTGTTCTTGTTCTAATCAGGATTGACGTGTTTTGTTTGTGTGCACCATCAATGTTTTTGAATTTGGGGCGCATAAGAATGAATGAAGTTAATTTCTTTGTAGTGTGTTCTATTAATTACATCAATTATATATCATGAATCTCTCTCTGTATTTTCTCTTCATGAAATGTCATTGTCCTACACATCTTAATTATATAGAAATATGAAGAAGTGATGATATTAATTCATCATTTTCTAATTTTCCTATTAGATATATAGAGTGATTTAATTCATCATTTGATATATAGTCCTTATGCAGAAAATATGTGATATAGGTTTTATTTTCTATATAATTAAATTTTTATATAAAATCAATATTTTCCTTTATTTTATATCGTTAGAAAACTAGTAAAAAAGACTAAACTATATGAAGACATTTTAATAGAAACCAAAATGTAGAATTTTTAAATATAAAGATTATAACGCAGTGTTAAAGCACACAATGTTTAAATATTTTAAACACTTAAATTTTATTTCTGATTTGATGGATCTAATTATCAAACTAGTAAATATGTATAAATTTAATTAGTAGTGCAGAGTATATTGAAAAGAGAACATTTAACATATATAATACGTCATTAGTATTCCTCTATATAATAATATATAACATTTGAAAGGGGAAATTTACTTAAAAAAATGTAAAGAAAGAAAAATAAAGAGAGAATTATGTAATGAAATGGTTCACATGATCAATTTGTTCAAACAAAATTGGTTTTATGATAACTAATTAAATCATAAAAGTTACGAAGTAAATTTGAAATGTGATTTGTAGGATTAATTCACTAGTTATAATGTAATTTATAAATTAAAAATATTTAATTATTATGAATAATTATAATTTATACATATGAGGGCAAATGTTTATCGTATGTAATACATAAATAAACATACTAGTATTAATTTAATAAAATATAATGAAATATTTTAAAGTTGTCCATATAATTTAATGTAATACAATATCTTATGTTTCTATCTTGATTTTATATTTAAATCTAAATTATAAATATTAATAAATTTTAAATATATTTTTTATTTTTTATCTATTTCATTTTTTTACTGTTCACTCTTTTTTCTTTTTTAATCAACTTAATTTATCAATTAAATATATTATTATCATTTTCTCATATTTTACTCCTTCACATCTATTTGATCTTTTTAACCAATTTGATTTTCTTAATCTCATTAACTAATTTAAAAAATTCAAAGTTTTTTCTCTTTATTTTTTTAAATATTATACATAGATTTTAATAATACTTAATATTGTTTTATTTTTAATTTATCTTTATTAAATTTTGTTACCTCGTACTGTCTAAATTTATTATTTTTATTTATTATATATCAAATTTTATTTTAATTAAATAATTATATTTTAAAATATTAATAATTATTACTAATTAAAATTTTTATTATTTTGTATTAATTAAATAAAAATTAAGTTATTAAATATATTTATTAATATTTTAAAATGATAATAAAAAAAAGAATATTGTATTATAATATATAATAGTAACAATGTATTTATTTCTATGAATAAAAAAATATCAATATATATATATATATATATATATATATATATATATTAATATAAATATAATAATAAACTCAATTAATAAAATAACGTAAGGTAGGCTGAAATTCTCATTATGTTGAAGAAGGGTAACTAAACTATCTTTAATAGGCTAGAAATGAAAAGAGATTAAATGGACTAATTAAACAATTTTACGAACTTTAGATAATATAATAAATTAAAATCCAATTTTTAAAAATATATATTTGTTATAATTTATAGGTCTATTACAATTTTAAATAACCATATACGAATTATTTATCAACTTTTTTATGATTATTTTTTAAAACATAGTAAAATTTAATAAGATATTCTCTCTTAATTACATTTATATTTATTTACAAAATTTGAACTCGAAAAATTATTTAAAAACGAAAGAATTTAGTTTGAATTAAATAAATCATCGACTCCTTTATTATACTATCATTGAATAAAAAATGTGTCTCCTATTATTAAAAATCAATTATTTTATATAATCTTTAACGTGGAAGCCACTATACATATAAGAATCAAAGAAGTAATCGAAAAGGATAGGGTTTATTCGTGTTGTCACTTTCTAACTTTTTTTTTTTCTTTTTTCTTTCCACTATCCATTGACAACTAAGTCTTGTGGATGTTGTTAAAAAATATTAAGAATATATAGTTTTAGATATACCTGTCACTCATACCGGAAATTTAGTAATTTCATGTTTCACTTTTAGATAAAGCTTCCAAATAAATTTTCATATGCTCTTAAAATTATGTATATCAGAAGATAAAGAAAAAAAATAAAAACCTGAAAAAATAGAGGCCCAAGTAGAGGTCAATGTCCATGAAAGAAGTTTTTTCTTTTACGCATCGTATTCTTCTGAAAAAAATAATAATAATATTGTACTTAAATAAATTGAATTTACTATTCTAAAAACTTTTTAGAATAAGCTTCTGTAAAAATATTATGGAATAACATTTGTAAAAACTCTTCGGAAGCGAAGTGAGTTTTCTGAAACTAGTTTCAAAAAGTGTAGGTCAATTTAGAATATTTCTAAAAAATTTATTATGAAATATTTTTGGAAAAACGAATCTAAAACTTAAATCATACGAAGAACTTTCAAAATGCGCTACTCAACTTAGTTGACCAACATGTTAACTCATCAAATGATTATAAAAAATTTATACTTTTAAATTTTTAATTATATTAATAAAATTATTTTTTATTTAAAATATAATGGTTTAATGTTTAAAATATAATAACTAATTTTAATTAGATAAGTTTTTATAAGAAATTTACTCTAAGATACTCCTATAATAAATTAATTTCTTATCAAATTAATGTATATTATATATATATATATATATATATATATATATATATATATATATAAAATAATATTATTTTTATTTAAAAAATAATTATCATTCTATAAAATATGATAACTCATTAATTTATAGTTTAGCTTAAGTTAAAAAGACGTATATCATGCCTATATCATGCCTCAACGAATCAGGTTAAAATAATCTTTATTTAATTTTGATCACAAATTTATGGTTATTGCTTATACCCTATAATTAAATTAAACATTATTTTACTTTTACACTTATTCATTTTCCATCAGTGTTTATTTTTTATCTTGTTCAATGACTATATATATATATATATATATATATATATATATATATATATATATATATATATATATTTTTTTTTTTATTTATTGTATCAAATTTTTACATGTACAAGATTCTTGCATGGTCGGAAACACATTGTAGGGAGTGAGAAAAATTGAATTTTTTTTTCGAAAAACATGTGTCCCAAAGTACTTTCTAGAATATATTTTTAGAATTAATTTTCCAAAAATACATTTCAAATTGGTGGATCTAGAATATATTTATGAAATTTTCATTCCGAAAATATATTCCGGATCCACCAATCCGGAATACATTTCTGGAAAATCAATTCTAGAATGCACTTTCCAAAATTCATTTTCAGAAAATCAAGTTTGGAATGAATTTCCAAAAAATCAATTTTGGAAATATATTTTAGAACGCACTTCTTAGAATATATTTCCAAAATTGATTGTCTGAAAATACATTCCGAATTTATCTTTCCAGAATTGATTTCCAAAAATGCATCTCATTCTCCATAACAATATTTCAAAAATAGGTGTTTCAAAATGTATTTCTAAAAAAGTCAATCTGGAAATACATTCGGTATAAGGTGTTCCAGATTTCAACATAATTTGTGTGACATTGTTCCAAATTGAACAATTTGAGTTTGTTTGTGCAATTTGAACGTAGGAACATATAATTCATATATAAAATTAACGATTATTTACCTTTAATTATTAGAAAAGACCTTAAATAGAGGTGACAATAAAAGAAAATCAAATATCCAAAAGTTGAAAGTGCCAAGGGATGGAGTTGGAGAAGTTGTACATAAATAGAAAAAGAAGAAGTTACGGTAAAAAAAACAAAATTAGGAGAAGAGTATTTTAAATATTTGACTTGGGATATGAAGATGGATAAAGATATTATAAGGTACAGAAAGCAAGAGCCAAAACAAAATTATAAGAAATATATTTTAGGTATTTGACCTGAGATATGAAGTTAAGAAAATGACGAGAGTGCATAGCAATTGCCAAATTTAGTAGACTTTCATGTTTTCATTTAAGAGCCCAACATGATAAAATAAGGTAATTGCTAACTCTACTCTCTTCAATTGCTAAACATATCGCCTTCAAAATTTCAAGCTTAAAACCCAATTTTGGAAATCTCAAATCTATGGAAAATCAACCAGACACATAAATATGCTAAAAGAGTAATAAGTAGATATAATAAAATGGGTTACTTAAACTTTGAGTTCAAATTAAACCTGGATTATTTTGACCTGATTTAATCTTAACCTAATATGGATTTATTATTTGACTATATATATTTAAAACCACATGTGTGCACTTAATTGATTAAAAATCATATTTAATTGATTATTAATAGTGATTGATCAATTTAATCGAACTTATTAAAAACCATATTTAATTAATTATTAATAGTATTGATCAATTTAATAAAAATAATTGCTAAACAGGGTTTATCAAAACAAAAGACAATGACAAGTAAACTAAATGTAAACGAAGTGTGTTTTAATGCTTCTTTATGAAATCTGAGGTGTTTTATACATTAGTAAACAAAATAATTAAATACATAAAGGACCAACCATAAAATGAAAAATTCAGAAATTAGTATCTTAAAGTATTAAAATTTATTTAAGTGATTTACGTTATGTACGAAAGCTAAAGATTGAAGTGTAGATTATCCACATATAGAAGCTAAGAGGGTGTAACATATAAGATAGCTACAAAGTTGTGGAACATTAATGTTTGGCAACTAGATATGAATACACTAAACTGGCTCTTCAAGTCAAACCCTATGTGACCAACAAAGTTTGAGCTAATTAGAGAGAAAAGTCAGTAACATTCTTTATAGAAAATTTATATAATATTCAATGTATCATACGAGTTAGGCACTTAGTCTCACACTTGATTGAAAAGCGATCCCGGATAATCTTGTCCATATAATTCAATCTCCCTCGTATTTTTAAAACAAATCATAATCTTTCACCTAAATTTTATGTTAATATAAATTAATAGATTCATTTTAATCGAATTAAAAATTTAAAATATTATTATTATATCTATAATAAAATAATTAATTAAAAAATATTTAAATAAAAATTAAAAATATAATTTTAAAATTTATATTATACTAATAAAATTAATTTTTATTTTATATAATAATTTAATAAATAAATTATAAAAAAATATATATTTTCAACCATAAAATAAAAAATAAAAATTTATTTTTTCTGATATCATAATTATTTTTTAATAATTTAATAATCTAAAATAATAAATAAGAACATTAAATAAATACAAATTAAAGATTTATTTTTATTTTTATATTTATTTTTAAAATAATTAAATCTCTTATCAAATAAGTTTATAATATTATATAAAAAATATTATTATTTTATAAAATAGATTGATATAAGGTGATATAAATCCTGATTTAAAAATATCTAATTCTATGTTAAATTAAATTTTAGTTTAATTTATCTTATTTTTTGAATTTTTAAGTGAATTAATCGATTTAAATTTATTTTGAAAAATAATAATAATAATAATAATAGTAATAGTAGTAGTAGTGATGAAAATATTTAATTTTGTCTTTTAATAAAAAGTGTATGATCGGAACATTTGTTAACATCTCAATCTCATTATGTTTATTTGTTGGAAGGTTACACCTACTACTTTGGATTAAAAACATTAAAAGGGATGACCATTTGGAATTATGAACCTCATGTTGCACAGAAAGCATGGGCTCATGGACTGACAGGTAACATGGCCAAACATGGTGCTCTTAGAACCACAGAATCGACACAGAGGTTGTTGGCTTAATAACTAACGTGATCTCTTCCACTTCACATCCTTAACTATTCATCATCCCATGCAATATTTTCCAGTAATATAGTTATGGAACCGAAGAAATCGTTGGCATAGTTAACCTTAACTACTTCATATTTATTGGCGGGAATAGACTCTACTACACCAACCGTACCTCACGAGCACTCTCTTCTTCTAGTCCCTATATTATTATTTACTTACTTTAACATATAACACACAACACCTTTTCTTTTTCGATCATCTTTCTATCTTCATCTTCAACTGGGAAACCAAATTCAAACTCAATGGCAGAACTGGAACTAGTTCCTGAACAAGGCGTGCCATCCAAACCGGACCAACAAACCAAAATTGAGAGTGTGTCCTTTTTTGGCTTGTTTGCTACCGCTGATTTAACTGACTATGTCTTAATGTTCCTTGGAAGTGCCGGTTCATGTCTCCATGGTGCTGCGCTTCCTGTTTTCTTCATTTTGTTTGGTCGCATGATTGACTCTTTGGGACATCTTTCTAATGACCCTCACAAATTGTCCTCACGAGTTTCTGAGGTGCTATTTCGTGCATCATTATAAACCATTAGACAGTAACGTGTTTGTGTTAGAGTTGTATTTTTTTTATTTTTTTTATGTGTATATGTGATGAAGTGAATGTCGGTTTCTTTCCTCATTGCAGCATGCTTTGTATTTGGTCTACCTTGGAGGAGTTGTTCTGGTATCTGCTTGGATGGGTACATCTTATAACTTGGACTTCATTTCTTTCTTTCGAAGTAATGCCCCTAATGAAGGATATATAACAGATGTGACTCATCTACCGTATGTCTCTGTGGTGTTGGGTGTTCTTCGACAACCCTTTTACAACAATAACCATATATACTCAGTACATAATCACTGTTTACTATTATTTTTCAGGTGTTGCATTCTGGATGCAAACAGGGGAGAGGCAAACGGCACGTTTGCGTTTGAAATATTTGCAGGCAGTGCTGAAGAAGGATATTAATTTCTTTGACAATGAAGCCAGGGATGCTAATATCATTTTTCACATCTCAAGTGATGCAATACTGGTACAAGATGCCATTGGTGACAAGGTGTGTGACATAGTCAAAGAAGATGTGTTGTTTTAAGAATTGTTGAGGATGGTTCAGTAGTTGATGAAATGCTCTTGTTCATTGTGCTCAATGCAGACAGGCCATGCCATTCGTTACCTTTCTCAATTCATTGTTGGATTTGCCATTGGATTTACCTCAGTGTGGCAGCTCACACTACTCACCTTGGCTGTGGTTCCACTAATAGCTGTAGCTGGGGGAGCTTATACAATAATTATGTCTACTTTATCAGAAAAGGGTGAAGCAGCTTATGCTGAGGCTGGGAAGGTTGCAGAAGAGGTAAATAAACCTATTTGTGAATTGAGATTTTGTTCAAAGGCTAGTTCAACTGTTAGATTGGTATTTTATTCTTAACGATGCCTTGCATAACACATCTTTTTCTTTCCACATGTTTGGGTGGATCAGGTGATTTCTCAAGTGCGTACTGTTTACTCGTTTGTAGGAGAAGAGAAAGCAATTGGTGCATACTCAAAATCTCTTGATAAAGCTCTGAAGTTGGGAAAGAAGGGTGGTTTGGCAAAAGGAGTTGGGGTAGGCTTCACATATGGCTTGTTATTTTGTGCTTGGGCATTGCTTCTGTGGTATGCTAGCATACTTGTGAGGCATCACAAGACAAATGGAGGAAAAGCGTTTACAACAATTATCAATGTCATCTTTAGTGGATTGTAAGTCCATCAAAACTGCTATGATCATATGATAACTCACATAATTTTGTTCTGGATTACAAACTTGACTTTTGCTCCTTTGAAGTGCTCTTGGTCAAGCTGCTCCAAGCCTTGGTTCCATTGCTAAAGGGCGTGCCGCTGCAGCCAATATCATGAACATGATTGCGTCCGCTTCAACCAATTCTAAGAGGTTGGATGATGGCACTGTTGTGCCACTAGTTGTTGGGGAAATTGAATTTTCTGAGGTCTGCTTTGCTTACCCCTCAAGATCCAATATGATCTTTGAAAATTTGAGCTTCTCAGTGAGTGCCGGCAAGACTATAGCAGTTGTTGGTCCCAGTGGTTCCGGAAAGAGCACGATTGTTTCACTTATTCAACGGTTCTATGACCCCACTTCAGGTAATTAATATTAGCATCTAGAGTTGGTTTCGTTTGAAATTTCCATGGCCCTTTATGGGAAGTGGGAACAAATAGAATAGAAACACAGCAGGAGAGGGAGAAAGAAGAAAATGTCGGGACCAAAATCTCCTATGCCAAACATACCCCACGTTTTTATTTAGTTAGTTAGTATAATCACTTTTGTTTGTCAATGTACAGTTCAATATTTAGGAGGAGAGGTTAATGCATTAATTTTCACTAGGTAGGATCCTGTTGGATGGATATGACCTAAAGAATCTTCAATTGAAATGGTTGAGAGAACAGATGGGCTTGGTTAGTCAAGAACCAGCACTATTTGCAACAACAATAGCTGGAAATATTTTATTTGGGAAAGAAGATGCAGACATGGACAAAGTCATACAAGCTTCCATGGCTGCAAATGCTCATTCTTTTATTCAAGGATTACCTGATGGTTATCAAACTCAGGTTAGTTTTGCAGTACCCACAAATGGAAAATACTGGTAAAATTGCTTCCAATTTCACAAATTCTTTTTACCAGTAGAACTGTGTGAATTACCTTCAACAGCTTCATAATATCTTTGTTCTACTAAACATAGAAAAGTTATGAAGTTTATCTCTCCTCATAAAAGTCATATTTATGTTGAGATAGAAACATATTTTTAATTCAGGTTGGAGAGGGTGGCACCCAACTCTCAGGGGGGCAAAAACAAAGAATTGCCATAGCAAGAGCAGTGCTCAGAAACCCAAAAGTATTGCTTTTAGACGAGGCCACAAGTGCTCTAGATGCTAAATCAGAACTCATTGTCCAACAGGCTTTGGAAAAAATAATGTCAAACAGAACAACAATAGTTGTTGCACATAGATTATCCACCATACGCGATGTAGATACAATTATTGTGTTGAAGAACGGCCAGGTGGTTGAAAGTGGAACACATTTGGAAATGATGTCCAACAATGGAGAGTATGTGAATCTGGTAAGTTTGCAGGCATCACAAAACCTCTCAAACTCTAGATCAATATCTCGATCTGAAAGTTCAAGAAATTCTAGTTTTAGAGAACCTTCAGACAACTTGACCTTAGAGGAGCAGCTGATGTTGGGCACAAGAGGAGAACTACAATCAAGTGATCAACACTTGCCATCAAAGACTCCTTCAGCTCCAACAATCTTGGATTTACTGAAACTGAATGCTCCAGAGTGGCCCTATGCAATACTTGGGTCAGTGGGTGCAGTATTGGCTGGAATGGAAGCCCCTCTCTTTGCACTTGCAATCACTCACATCTTGACTGCATTTTATTCTCCTCAGAGTTCAAAAATCAAGCAAGAAGTTGATCGTGTCGCTTTTATATTTCTTGGAGTGGCTGTTATTACAATACCTATTTATCTATTGCTACACTACTTTTATACATTGATGGGAGAGCGTCTCACTGCCCGTGTGCGTTTATTTATGTTCTCAGGTACTCCGTGGCTGCAAAAGCTTTGTTATTATAATCACATGCATTAACTTTTCTGGCCTGAGAAACTCTAACCATTTTAATTTTATACTTTGACTTGTTCTCTCATTTTTTTTTTCTCGTGTAGCTTAAGTATTGTAATTAATTTAACTTGCAGCTATTCTCAACAATGAAGTTGCATGGTTTGATAAGGATGAGAACAACACTGGCTCACTAAGTGCCATGCTAGCTGCGGATGCTACATTAGTAAGAAGTGCTCTTGCTGATAGACTCTCAACCATTGTGCAAAATGTAGCTCTCACTGTCACAGCTTTTGTTATTGGCTTCACGTTGAGTTGGAAACTAACAGCAGTCGTTGTAGCCTGTCTTCCCCTGCTCATAGGAGCTTCTATCACTGAGGTTAGCCTCATAACACCACTTCACGAATGATTTGATCTTCTATGTTGTAGTGCGTGATTCATGTTCATTCCTCAGGGAATAACCAACATAAAAAATAGCTAAGGTTAAATTATTTTTGCAGCAATTATTTCTGAAGGGGTTTGGAGGAGATTACAACCATGCTTACTCTAAAGCAACTTCTTTGGCTCGTGAAGCTATTTCCAACATACGAACTGTTGCTGCTTTTGGCGCCGAAGATCGAATCTCAATCCAGTTTGCATCTGAATTGAACAAACCTAACAGACAAGCTCTTCTACGGGGCCATATATCAGGTTTTGGCTATGGCATAACCCAGCTATTGGCTTTCTGTTCCTATGCACTTGGCCTTTGGTATGCATCAGTTTTAATCAAGAAGAAAGAGTCAAACTTTGGAGACATCATGAAGTCCTTCATGGTCTTAATCATCACTTCTCTGGCAATAGCAGAAACACTAGCTCTTACACCAGACATTGTGAAGGGATCACAAGCACTGGGATCAGTTTTTGGCCTTCTCCAAAGGAGATCATCCATCACCCCAAACGACCCTAACTCAAAGATGGTGACTGATGTCAAAGGAGAGATAGAGTTTAGAAATGTTAGCTTCAAGTACCCTATGAGACCTGACATCACCATATTTCAGAACTTAAACCTCAAAGTCTCAGCAGGTAAGAGTCTGGCAGTGGTGGGACAAAGTGGTTCAGGGAAAAGCACAGTGATTGCTTTGGTAATGAGATTTTATGACCCTGATTCTGGATCAGTTCTGATAGATGAATGTGATATCAAAAGCCTAAACCTGAGATCCTTAAGGCTGAGGATAGGATTGGTTCAGCAAGAACCCGCTTTGTTCTCAACCACAGTTTATGAAAACATCAAGTATGGAAAAGAGGAGGCATCAGAAATAGAGGTAATGAAGGCAGCCAAAGCAGCAAATGCTCATGAATTCATCAGCAGAATGCCAGAAGGGTACGAAACTGAGGTGGGTGAGAGAGGGGTGCAGTTGTCAGGAGGACAAAAACAAAGAGTTGCAATTGCTAGAGCTATTCTGAAAGATCCATCCATTCTTTTGTTGGATGAAGCAACAAGTGCTCTAGACACGGTATCAGAGAGGCTAGTCCAAGAGGCTCTAGATAAACTAATGGAAGGTAGAACAACAATTTTGGTAGCTCACAGGCTATCAACTGTTCGTGATGCAGACAGTATTGCAGTGCTGCAAAATGGCAGGGTTGCTGAAATGGGAAGCCATGAGAGGCTGATGGTCAAACCCGGAAGCATCTACAAGCAATTGGTTAGTCTACAGCATGAAACGCGTGACCAAGAACACCATTGATGATGAATTACTTATTTGCAATTTCCCAATTAGAAGGGTATTTGCAATTTGCAACTTGAATTGAGGCAAGGCGTGGTTTATTTTAAGAGCATGCCCAAATGATTTTTTATTGCATACGACAACTGTTTTTTTGTTTATATACACGACTCCCATGATAAAATTCAAAGCCTAAGTGAAATGCTACAACATTTACAATTTTTTTCTTAATTTGACAAGATCTTCGGTCCATTATTAAACTTTATTCGTTCTTAATTTGACAAAAAAGCATCCTTTAACCAAATATAGGTACATGCTTGGACCCTTCTTTTTCATTAAATAAAGCTTCATGGTTTCACCTTCTTAATTTATGCTTGTCATCATCATCGATAAAAGGGCTACGTGCCAACCTTGTAGACAATTCAGTGCTGATATTGCCATTTGCGAAGCACCGTTAATCCCAGGACATGGGATACTGCTGCTGACACTGCTACCCACCAAATGTCAATTATTTAGAGTTTTCTTATAACATTTTCAGCACATTAAATATGGTAGTTAGGCTTATTGACTGAAGAAAAGGCAAGAGTACTAAAATAGAATAAGACCCTCGAGGAATTTAGGACTATGTCTTTATAGTTGCTTCTTATAAAAAAGGCCAGCCGTGAAAACATTAGTACGACTTGAAAATAAAGAATTTTTAGTTGGATAGTGATCAGTTACCCATTTTGTACATATATAACCGAGAAAGGTATTAGTGTTTTTGGTTCGTCATTCCAGTGTTTTTGGCATCATGCCCCTGGGGTTACGGTAATTCTAGCTGGAACCATGTGGTGAGATGAATGCATGACAAGATTCAAACTTGTATCTTAATTGCAGTTTGGAGGTGCGTTACTAGCCGTTCCCTGCTCTTACTAGGATATTAATAATTAACTAGAATTTCTCTTTTCTACAATGATAAGGTAGCATTTGATCCAGCTTTATTTGGTCTTTTGATTCTCCTTAAAAATTAAAGTAACTTTCTCTAACGAATAAAAGCCTAAAAATAACTTCTATAAAAGCAAATTAGAGCAGTTTCCATTTTTAAGAAAACATGAACCAAAGGCAAGGAGCCTATTCAATCTTTGTGATCTAGAGACATGAAATTAAAAGGAGACAAACAGGCAGTTGCCTGCTGCTAACCTTTTCCTTCCCCATATTCCTCTCTCTGGAGCTGGAGAGCTGTGTTTAGTTTGGACAACATTTTAGAGTCCAAAATAAATTTTAAATTCTCTGTAAAAATAAATTACCATCTATACATCTCATTTCCAAACACAATATTATTATTTTGGCCAGTTAAAAATTACCGGATTTTGTCTTAATTGTAAGATAAAATACCATGAAATTGGCAAAAGCACACCTGAGTTGGGTGCATATTGCAGGACTCTTGAAACCGGTCATCGGCTTTACTAATTTATCCGTGCTGGGGCTTTAAGGTGCGACAGAAAGCATAATTAGGAATGTTAAAATGCTTTCGAAGGAATCGGAACTTCCAAAGGCTTGTATGAGTGAACTTGAAAATACCATTTATATGGTTCAAACAGCAAATTCTAATCGTGCTTTAAAATGACCTTGATGCCACAGCAAACATGTTAGTGCGTAATGAACATTCAATTCATACAGTTTTAATTGAACGTTAATCTGCACATGCCAATTGTACTTAAAGAAAGCAATATTATATCTTCCTACTAATCCTCTAAGAAAGTAATATTATAGCTAATTTTGAACACTGATAACTACATGCTTGGTTTTTCGAACAACTGCACATTTGGGCGTCTTGGATATGTTAGGCAGGGGTTTGGACCTTGATAGGGTCATATTTTTCACCTAGTATACCGCCTTTCTCTTTTTGAAATTGGATATACCTCAATGTGCTGGTAAAAAAGGCATCTGAGGCAGGAATAGCTGATGCAGAGTCACTCTGCATCTCAGTCATGATCAATTCTATAAGCCCCTGGATAGTAGCGCTAGTGATCTGCGGGTTTCCTTTCTCAAAATAATATATGTACCTGGAAACCACTTATCCATCAGTAAGAAAGTCATCAAGATAGTATAACAAGCAGTTTTATTGCAAAGGAACAAACTTGTTCAGTATTTCAACAAATAATGTTACTGGACCACTGCTGCCCCTTGCTACATTGGCCATTTGTTGAGCAGCATTTGCAATCCTCAAAGCACGCTTAAGGCAAAGCAATACCCTGTAATAAAAAAGAGTCAACACCCCCACCCCAAGAGAAAGAATTCGTAAAAAAGATGACTAGTTTAAAACTCTTCAGAATACAGTAAAATTCTACGCCAAAAGTTTAAGCAGTTCTAAACATGTGCATCAAATATGCAGAGTCATAAATACTTCATGAATCTATTAGAAGGAGATAATTATTTCAGAAAACATTATACCTTTCTCCATCTTTAATACCATCTTGATCATCAACCCAAAAGAGATGAGAACATGCATAAACTGCTCGACACTGATCAGGTTTCTTCAAAAGTTTGGCTGAATACTGTAGAAAGAGATGGAAACCCATGTTAAGTTTGGAGTGAATACATGGAAAGATTAATAACATTTGCCACAATCCAGTTGTCTAATGGTCATTGGGTTGGGAAAACTCAAATTGCTCGGCTTATACTGAATTTTAAACTAAATTGGGATGGTTAAGTTTTGGGAAGGAGGAAGCCAGGAACGGAATAAAATATAAAGGAAAGGGATGGAGAGAATGGTTTATTATGATTGTAACATTTCAATCTAAATTTACTATTTCAATCCTAGCCTTATTATTGTAACTTAGGAACAGAAGTTGAATGATTGCCCGGCATTCCCTTTCTATCCAAAAAAGTTTTAAACCCCCAAATAAGAAGGGGATATTCCTTCCCCTTCCCGTCACCTTTCATCCCTGTCAATGTTCCTGCTCCAAACGATCAAAAAATTGAAAACAAGTAACAGTACTATACCCCTGTTGCCTTGTGTGTTAATGTATCCCTGTTCTCAACACCAAAGACGTTCATTCTCTGAAGAGACCCGATAATTAAATGTATTGCGGTTACCTGGGCTTTAGAGTCCTAAAACCAGTATAAACAGTCATATTAGTAAAAGCCTAATGTTAGTCATTAAGAAAGTGTTAAAGTACTTGTTTTTGTAATAGTTACCGCAATTTCTTCTTCATATAATACAAATGCCTGAGTGAAAAATTCATAAGCAACAGGCTCAAGGTCACAGTCATTAGCAGCCTGATAATAATAATAAACGTGAGAAAAAAAATACACTGAAACAATAACGCAAAATGACAAATGTCCTAATCAGGATAAAGAGGTAATATAATATCAGGAAAATATTAAAAAAAATTATGGTTGTGATTATAGCCAAGTCCAGCATGAGCATAGCCCTAAAAAATCATTCCCCACTCGGACTAAAGTGTTAAACCTTCAATTTAATTGGGAAAAAATTGCCCTGTGAACATGTTTTCTGGGTGGCAGAGAATCCATGTCCAGACCCAATTTCGTTTACAAATCCCCTGTTCTTGTCTTCTCAGAGCTGCATGGAAATATAGAGAGAAACAAAGGCGAAAGTGACCAGATTAGATAATTCAAGTTTAGAGGGTCAAGCATACCTCAGCACATTGCAGATACAGTCTTAACGCCAGTTCAGGAAATGACACAGAAGAAAGAGCTTCAATTATCTGTAATAAAATAAACTATTATTTGTCCATCAAATGGTGATAACAATATATGGTGCATAGAACTTTAGATAACATCATAATGACTTCATCGTTAATATATGCTATACAGTAGTTTGATAAAATAACTCCATGACAGTTTAATAAAAAATGATTTTGAGTTGTACTCTTGTACTTATAAACAGAGTAATTATTCTCGTCCACTCCACTAAGATTATAAATTTTAAATCACCTCATTTAAAAGCTGGAATATTTTTTTTGGTGTTGTAGGAACTTCTTCTCCCACAATATCTCCATCCTGCCCATGCAATTGCCTGATCAACTGCAACAAAGTATGATTCACAAAGGCAAAAAAAAGTTATTCATTCGTAAGTATCATTCTCAAATCTCAAGTAACCCCCAATACAGTTTGGCATAGGGTTCAAGTAAATATTTTCAGACCTTGTTGCCCCAGCTATCAAGTATCTAATTGGAAGTAGTAAACTTTTTGGATTTTTATAAATCTATTAATACTATTAGTCACCATTAAAGCCACCACAAGGTTAAAAAATAATGAGGCTTACCCATTAAATCACATATAAAATCTCAAGATCTAAAGTTGAAGTTTATGCCACAGTACAAATATTGTAAGTGATACAGAATTCTTCAAAAGCTAAAGGGCTAATAAAACGGAAGAGTGGAAGCCGAGAAGTATTTATTATTTCACATGCATACTTAGTCCCCAAACTCTGGTGTACATGGTTTCAAAGGATCCTACTGGTAGCTTTATTATGAAATATGGACAGACCAGGCAACTCCATTTTTATAATTTTCAAACTATTCTCATATATACTCGAAAAGATATTGAAGCAAAGAAAACTGTAGTTCTATTTCTTAATTCAAAATAGTACAAGGATGTTTTATTTATAGAATACTTTAGAAACCCCAACTACCTAGTATTACAGCACCTCAACTACCCAACACCTCAACTATCCTTTACAACAACTCAACTACACTAAAAGTAATTAAAACAAGTCTTGTAAATTAAACAAAATATTCTCATAACTAAACACTCCCCTCGAACTGGTGAATGGATATCAATCATTCCTCCCTTGCATGTAAGATCAAGAAACCCATTTGAGGGAAGTCTCTCCGTAAACAAGTCCGCAAACTGATGTTTCGATGGGATGTAGGAAACATTTACAAGGCCACAATTCAGTTTTTATTCGATGAAGTGCCAATCAATCCGTATCTTCTTGGTCTTATTATGCTAGACAAGATTGTGAGCAATAATAATAACAAATTTATTATCACAAAAGAGAGTCATAGGTTCTGCATATTTCACTTTGAGATCATTCAGAATAATTTTCAACCATAACAATTCACACCCCCCCTCTGTGCCATAGCTCAAAACTCAACCTCTGCACTGACCCTTTACAACCACATTTTGTTTCTTATTTCTCCAAGTCACCAAGTTTCCACCTAGGAACATACAATATCCTTTGGTGGACCTCCTATCAGTAACAGAATCATCAAAAGCTACATCAGCATACAACTCCCTATTTAACTTTCCATCTTTCTTAAATAACAACCCCCTTCTTGGACTTGTCTTCAAACACTGAAGGATTTTATTTACGGCTTGAATGTTCTGCTCTCTTGGATTAAGCATGATTTGACTAACCACACTCACAACATAAACTATATGAGGTAAATGAGATTTCCTATGAGTCTTTGATATTGGCCCTTATTTACTGCAAAACTTCCTTCATCAGAGAAACAAATAAGATTGACTACAACAATAGGTAGGTCATCAAGGTTAGGCTAACAGTTATTATGCAAATAAAAATTCTAAAGGTTTTAAATGATGAACACTTATTTCCAGATCAGACAATTGGAATTGTTCTTGGACCAAGTTATGTTTCATGTGTCTCCTTTCATATTGTATTTGAAAGAGACCCTCTAGATGACTAACACCTAGTGTTGATTCTTTCTCAAAAACAATAATTCCCTCACCAAAAGCAGCCTCAAAAATATCCTTGCAAGATGAACCAAGGAACCATGGTCATTATCAGTATGGGAAGGTGAAGATTCATTTTCTTGCAACAAAGGGACAAAGAATGACTCGAGCTTCATGAAAGGATGCTGAGGATGCTCATAAAAGGATGCGGATTCATGAAAAGGTGACATTCATAGAAGCATAAATCTTCTAAGTTAGAGGATGATAACAATGAATATGCACTTAACAACTCTAGGGTCTAATTCCTCATAAACTAAAACATTAAAAATGCAACATATCCTCAAACACGAATAGGGAGACTAGATAACAAAGAAACAACTGAAAAGAAAGAAGATATAGATGATTTTAGTAATAATTTTTTTTTGTTTTTTATTACTACATAATAATTAAAATAATAAATAAAAATATTAATAAAAAATAAATTTATCTCAGTTTCTACTCATTTCCATTTTCTTTCACCGAATCTAAACAACTTCTAAGAGATGATGAGAAATATTGCTATGTCCAGATATTGGGACATGGGTCCCATTGAAAACAATAATGTGATTACTAGAAGGAGAAACATATGATGACAGGTAAGGAGAATAAGGAGTCATATGATCAATTGCACCAGAGTCCAAAATCCTTACATAAAGTTTTAGATACATTAAAAGAAGATATAAAACATCTTACCGGTCATGATTAGAGAACATGTAATAGTGCATGACTTACTGAGAGATTTCATGAGTCAATAAGCATTCATTTTCAACTCGAAGGGTTGAGACCCCATCTTCAACAGACAAAGAGAGGGCCTTACCAAACCCTTCAGAGTTAGAAATTGCAGATGAGCTTCTTCAAAAATTGTCCCTTCAGTTCAGAGCCTTCTCCTATGTGAGAGCCCTAACATGAAGCTTAAAGCATGTCTCCTTGGTGTGCCTAGATTTCTTATAATGAGAACACTAGTGGTCCTCCTTGCTTTTTGAGATGAACTTCATATTCCCAAAAATGGATGTTCCAGGTTTGAAAGATTTTCCAAAAAATAAAGCAACACCTTCAATGAATAGCTCATTCATCATGACCATTTTTTAAGTCTCTTCATCTCACGTAATATAGAAGACATCCAAAAGAGAAGAAAGTCTTTCCTTGTCAAGAATGATCCCTAACAAGGTTATATTGAAGATTTGATCCTGACAAGAACTTAAAATTCAAGACCTTTCAACAAATCAAGCTAGAGTGATGTCATCCCTACTATTCTCATGCTTTAAATTATGATATTGGTCTAGTTCAATTTAGCACCCCATAGTAGTCAGCAACTAAAAGAGTCATCATCCCAAATCTCTTAAGCAGTAGAGTAAAACATGTAATTCTGGTTGATCTCCATAGTTATGAACCCCACATCTATGTTATGATCCTTAAATAATCATTATCTCATTTAAAAATTAAGGTTATATGGGGTTATGACATCCCTTTCAATATGGTTAAGTCTAATTGTACATTTAATGAATTGGGCCAACTGAAGATAATTTCTACCATTAAGACAATTATCTTCAAACAAAGCAAAATACCAAAATTGCTTAATGGAGACATAGTTGAAGATGCACTAGTAGCTATGCTGGAAGATATTTAAAAAAGAAGGAACACTCAATAAGAACCATGAAGAGAGTCAAACAAAATCAAGTGAGTCAAAACATGATCAAACAAAACATATAAGAACAAAACATAACCAAACAACAGCAACAATGATAAAAAGTGGCACATAGTGCCTAATAAGGTGGATCTAAACATCATCTCAAGGCGATGGTGACATGACCAACAGGAATGAGCCGGAAGGCAAGTCTTCTAGAGAGATTTCTGATCGAAACAAGAACTCTGGCACAATAATGACAGGGATTGAAACGGGGACATGTAACATGAGAAAACTTTAGGCAATCCCAGAAAAAAAAAAAAAGTGGGTGCACTTTAGACAACCCACACTTAAACAAAATCCTCAACTAAGACAGCTAGGGTTTGAATGTAGAAGCATTGCCCCCACAACTACCCCACACCTGAACCACCCTAGTAATAATTAATACAACTCTTACAAATCAAATATAATATTCTTGTTACTTAACAAAATTCAACTCCAGAAGCATGTTAAAGATAGTGTAGATAATACAAATTGAAAGAATAACATCATGAAATTAAAAAGATACCCTGAGTGCAGAAAATATCAGGGAAGGAACTGTAAAAGGTAAGCGCCTTGGTCCTCCACTCATAATATGCTTCTTTACGGTACATATTATCTGAAGGTCAATAAGTCACATGTTAGATGAAGCACTTAATAGGAAACACCACAGGAATTCAATATGACTCCACACACTAGTTTTACCTTAAACATTTCCTCTGGTTCATCATTATGAAGCATGTGGACGAGACGAGCAACAGAATTTTGCTCCTCATTGAAATCTTCTTCATCAACCTACAGATAAGATGAAAAAAAAAAGGGGCTCATTTTGAGCAAATAATATATTAATCTAGGGAATAATAGAATATTTATTGCTTAGACATAAAAAAATGTTAAATAATTTAAAATAACACGTAATAGAGAACAATTGTATCCTTGTAAACAAAATCCCAAGATAATATAATTTAACAGTACTTTCAGGCACACCTCATCCACAGTTGTTCCATCCACGTCCATTATAAGCCCTTTTATTAATTCAAATAAAACTTCAACCTGCAAAGGCATATTGAACACTGTTACAAAGAAATAAAGTTATCATGTTGAGCCAAATGCAAAGTAATATACCTTATCTGCAGTAGAGATGCACGTGTTATTCTTCATAATACTTTGGATAATAACCATGGCCATGACCTTATTTGTTTCATGATCAAGATGATCCATTACACGAGGATAATTAGAAAGTGTCAAGGCGGTCACAATATCATTGTATTTATCAAGTGGAGCACTTAAAAGTGCAACGACTTGCTTTGTTGCTCTATTGTCATCAAGCTTTGGTTTTCCAGAAAGCTTCTTAACACATGATCCCTGAACGAGAAGAGATGCAGCTTAGCTAAGATGCAAATACCACATTTCAAAATAACAGAAGATCAAAAAGAGGCTGTGATATTTGAAAAGTAACATACCAGTACTTGATCCACATAATCAAATCGATCCGGATGAACACGGAGAGTAAATGTAAGAAGAGAAACATGCAAAGCTATTGCTCCCACAATAGGCATGTCGGCTTGTGCTTCTATCACCTGCAGTTAAATGCACAGGTTATATGGTTTGGATTGCAGATCCACAGTCCACAAAATAAAAGGTATATTTAGTATTCAGTAGGCTCAAAGAAGAATGTCATTCCCTTCATTCTCAGTACTTTTTTCCCTATCAAACCAAATGACTATAATCAATATTTGGTTTTGCTCATACAAAGTTGTAAAGGACTTCTGATTACACAGAAGATCAACTATCAAGTAAAGCCCATTGGATCTAATGGAATTTTGTGATGGGTTTATTATATATGCACCAATAAAGAACAAGTATGACCTTACTATATAGCCTCAGCTTTGAAAGTTTCACTTAGCAGGTTCACACAACCATGAATATTAACCTTTAATTCAAAATTCTTTTAACAGTGCACAGTCAACTTGTACAACTTCTAAAAATATGAATTCATAAAAATTTTGAAACAAGGAGAAGAAAGGCTTGTACAGAAATCCATACTAAAGGAATTGGTAGAAGTACCACTGCATGCACTAAATTATCAAAGGTAAAATATTGATCATGAAGGGGGAACAGCATTTGGACAACACCATCACATTTACTTCGTTCATTGTCCATCAGGACATCCTTTTCTGCAGTTTTTCCAAAATAAGCACAATAAAAGTTACAAACTGAAGGAAATCTGGCTTACCCTGCTTATTGCTGTGCTTAATTTGGTAAATGCTTCCACTTGCAGAAATTCGGGCAATACCTGAGGCATAAATGATATCAATAACACATGGAAACTTATTTTTTGACAAAAGGTGCATAAGACTTACTTCAGTACTAGAGGCAGCATAATTTGACAACCTGTCCATCAACTGTGATAACACAGTCTTGATGTCTACTGTGGGCTGCAAATACAATCATGTCGGTCAAAGAGTAGATAAAAATGGATATCAGCCTCAAGAAAACCACATAAATAGAACAGAATTGATCTTTGAGAAGCTTCTCTATATATGGACTAGGAATATTGTCAAATGATTGGTTATCATAGAAAATATATGGTGATTCATTGACGGTGTGAATTGATAGTGTGAAGCCAAAATCTTTCAAGATCAGTTGAGATAAGTACAAAATGAGTTGAGATAAGTACAAAATGAATTGATACGCATTCAAGGTATAGATAGAGATGGTGAAAGAGACAATTGCAGCTTGTACAAAGTCAGGTAACAACAGAGATTGAAGATCCAACACACAAACTGAGAATAAATTCTAAAAATTTGTTGAAAAGAGAGAAGACGAGAAGGCATAAGATGAATTTTGTGTGTTCAGGCCATATCAGAGCTATTCAATTTATAGGAGAGAGAGAATAATTGCAACATATTTAACAAAATTTTCAGTTTCCCTATTTTAGGCTAATAACATGAACAAGGTAATCAAAATAGGGATCTTAAGCAAAATCATAAAACGAAGTATGAATCATAAATCGGAGGTTCATAACCTGGATCATAAATAGGATGTTCATAACATGGATCGTAAATTGGATGTTCATGACATGGATCGTAAATTGGATGTTCATGACATGGATCGTAAGATCCAACAAAACACCTCATCTTAATTACAATACAGTAATTCCTTCCTAGTTTACAAAACAATAAGTCAATAGAACATCCAAGTTACCAAATAGATATTCTATCCTAGTTACAAAATAATAATCTATTTAAACAAATAATCTTGCAAGTTCACTCCTATTTCCTATAAATAACATACTTAGAAGGCACAATTGAGTTCAAATAAGAATTGGGGTTGAAGTCATTTTAACATTGGTTTAAAACAGTAAAGAGATGGAAATAGAGATGTGTTGAGATTGATAAAGATGAGTGTTGACAACATATGAGCAGTGTTGAAACTTGTTCAAATATATATGGTAAAGAGTCATAAATGAAATCCCTGTGTTGATTGGATGGCAGAGCTTGTGCCAGAGCACGTGGTGCAACAGCTCCTCGTTGGTGCGATCTAGTTTTGCATGGAAGGATCCCTCTAGAATTGCAGCAAAGGCCATGTGTGATTGGGTCGCTGAAATAGTGGTGATTGATGAGCATAAGGGAATAGCCCTGTAGAGTTATGATCCCTACACTACAGTAGAGTAGCACAATCATGACATTTTGATTTTCAATTGTGAGACTCAACGAGGACATGAGTGCTGTGAGACTTAGCGAGGTGGAGGGTATGTACAGCTGCAGGGAGCTAAGAGGCTACATGAGTTAGTTAGTTCGCGGCCTTCTCATCCCACTAGGTGAAACAACAGCTTTATAAGCATTTTTAAACAAACGATCTTAGAAATAACACAATAAAAAAATGGAATCATCATATATCCCAAAGAAAATATGCAGTGGATAATTTGGAAGTGGATATTTTGGAAGAAGCAAGAATGTTAAATTCCAAGATAGTCGATACCCCAATGGATCCCAATGTCAAACTCCTACTAAATTCGGGGATCCTCTTACATAGTTACAAACAATTGGAGGGAAAGTTGAACTATACCCTTCCGAAGATCTCATTCACAACAAGTGTAGTAAGTAATTTTCCTGATCATTTAGTAATATGTTAAATGTCCTTGGATTAACTACATATATGTAACAAATTTAATGCTATGCTCTAACTTGAGAGAGAGTACTAGAATCCTTTAGATATATGACAAGCTTGGTGATATGGTATTAGGATCATATGATAATATTAGAATATCAATGAGATTGATACTATATTCACGTTCATGGTAATCAAAATCACAAGTTGAAGCATAAGATGGTATGCAACTAAGATATTCTTCCCCTTCTTTGATTTGCATCTCCTCTTCGTGCAAGGGCGATCATTGATGAAGTTCATAACTCACAATAGCATACCGATCTTCTACATTTCTTGATTCAATCTTCTATGTTTTTTGTTTCTCTCTTCTACATGATTGCACCTCTTTCGCATGTTAGGGAAAGTTTGTGGTATTATAACTCAAACTTTTGGGCCAACCAAAGATCTAATAGCCCAACTCTTTCTCCCACTCTTAGGCTCTGGATATCACAATGGTGATTGGATGGCAAGAGTTGTGTCAATTTGATCCAAGTTTGATGACGGAGTCCCTCCAATACTACTTCTCATTTGTAACAAAGGCCTTGCATGACTAGGTTGCATGATCACTAAGATAGTAGTGATTGGTGAGCATGAGCAAATACCCCTAGAGAGATATGACCCATAAGCAACACTAGAGTAGCCCAGTAATGATATTATGCTCCTCAATATTGAGACTCAGCACGGGCACAAGCAAAACAGCATGAGTTTACTTAAGATAAAATAAAAGAGAGAAAATAGTTTTTAGAAGGCTTAATCACACCTCTAAGTGATATCTTATTTATAATGATAAGAATATATACACTGAGTTGATGAAAGGTCAAGGGACAAAATTGTGAGCTAGAAGACATAAGTACAAAGATAGGTACAACTAATTAATAATTCCAACAAGTTTCATTGAGACTTACATGAGATTGAGAGTGTCTACAATCACATGGAGTTAAGGGGTTAAGGGGTTGTGCACACCTTCAAGCTAGAGTATACATAAGTCATATGTACAAAGTTGTTACATATATAGTTAATATGAGTATCGCTTAATGATTTAGTAAATATATCTACTAAACGATCATAGGATATGACTTGCAACACTTGTTACAAATGTGATCTCCAAATGGGTAAGGTAGTTCAACTTTCCTACCAATACCTCACAAGATCTGTAAGAGGCTATCCGTAATTTGGTAGGAGTTTGATATTGAGATCCATTGATACGTTGACAATCTCAAAATTTAATGTCCCCCAAATATTTGCGCATATTTCCTTTTGGATATGAGTATTCTATTTTTGGACTATGATACCTCTATCCCCAATAAATAGTTTAGTTTGTCAAGATCTATTATTTAAAAATGCTTGAAAAAATGGTTCCCCTACTGAGGTAAGAAGGCCGCCAAAAAAACTAACTCATGCAGTCCCTCATCTCTTAATGACCACAAACCCCTCAACATCACAGCAAGTTTAAATGAGACTCATGCCACTACACTAATGTCTTCGCTGAGTCTCACCACTAAGAAGCAACACATCATAATTGAGCTATTGTGTTGGTGCCTACGGATTGTACCTCTCCAGACCTTCCTTAATGGTCACAAATCACAACCTTAGTGACCTGACAACCTAATCAAACAAGGCTGATGCAACAATTGAGAAGCAATTCTAAAGCAATGTTGTCATCCGAACCTAGCTAAACAACTATTGCAAGACATGCTCTAACACAAGTCTCGTCATGTAGTTGACACAGGGATTTTATTAATGATATTCTACCATATACATGAAGATAGTTAAAGCATAAATAAGATTTGTGTCTTTCCAATCTACCCATTGTCCATTGGTGCTAAAACGTTTTTTAGAAAAACGTCTTTTATTCTAATTTCCACCATCTGCCCTCTTCACCGCATCACTTTTCAACTATTTTTACACTATTTCAACGCTTGACACCATTGGCCGTCATTGCAATTGCCATTGTTGCCACCGGCCATTGAAACTAAAGAGAAAGAAAAGGGAAAGTGTCGATCTATTTCAGAGATAATTTAAGTTTAGTTTAAACATTTAATGAGAAAAAGTATTATTTATTTGAATGACAACAATGGATAGGAAATGTAGTACGCAAAGGCATTTTGGCAATTGGAGAAAAAGTATCCCCATAATTCAACCTATAGATCTAAGTATAGCATTTTGCAACATTGATTCTTGAGTCAATCAACAATGCCAGCTGGACAAAAATGGAATAGGACAAGTGTAGGTTTGGAAAGAGAATTCTTACATAAATATGATTTAGGTTTAACAAATGAAATAATTTTGAAGAAAGTGACATCAACAGCAATAAAATACTTGCCAAGAGTAGGTGAATAACACTTGCTTTTATATAGACATATTATTAATTTTATTTTTTTAATTTTCAATAAGGCCAAAATTAATTTATTAGCCCGTTTTCCTAACATAAGGTCAAACTAAGCTAAAAATTATGGTCGACTTTAAAATATAAATCAAACGAAGCTATCAATTTTTTCACTTGGCCCTAGGGTAATCTGAAACTACCATTTTGACAATACTAAGTCTAAGTGGTCTTAAGAAGATGTCTATTTTTGCAATCAATTAGGAGTATGAGGACAAGATGTTTGATGCCACAAAGGTTTGACATTGTCTAGACAAATACTCACATGCATTATCACTTTGTAAAGCTCAAATAAGACACCTAATTGATTGTTGATTTCATGAAATATAATTGAAAAATAGAAACTAATTTTGAATGATCTTTCATTAAATATAACCATGTACATAGAAAAAAAAAACTATCGATAAAATTAACAATATTTTGACCCTAATGTTAAAGGAAATAAGACTAGGACCCCAACCATCTAAATGACCAAAAATAAAAGGGGACGAAGCCCAACTAATAGTGTGACTAAAAAATGAACAATGAACATGCTTACCCAATCAATAAAACTCACAAGACAAAGGCTCTAACTTAGAAAGATGAGGAACTAATTGTTTCTACTTACTAAGCATAAATCAAAAGAGATGTTGTCACCTATCCAACAATAGAAGGCTTGTTGCGGAGATAGAGGAAAAGGGTGGACAATACCATGTTCTTTGATCTTGCAAGGAAACTAAATCATTAGTGAAAGAAATAATATTCTTAATAGAAAGAGAAGAAAAAGGGTGGACAATACCACATTGTAGGATTGTGTTTGGAAACCATTTACCATGGTAATAGAATGTAAATTATCATAAGTAGAAAGAGAAGAAAAAGGGATTTATTATTAGTGATATAATCAGTGGCCCCAAAATTACGGACCCAAGGGCCCAAAGTGTGTGAGAAGCTAGCAAAAGAATTACTTGTATGTGTAATAATAGTTGTGGAACCAAAGGCTTGATGATCTTCAAACCATCTCAGAAAGTCATCATAAGAAGGTAAAGGGGTTGGATCCAAAAGCTACAATGAAGCAGAAGCTATAATAGGAGATACAAAACTCTAGTGACATGAGCATTGCGAGGAGGTTGACATGTAACATCCAATACTTATCAATTGCGTGTCGTGAATTGTAACAATGATTGCACCAAGGATGTTGTTGGACACCCTTCCACGGTGAAGGTTTAATGTTATTATGACATGCAAACGAGTTAACAGGGCCACGAGAAGGCAAGGACTGAAATGAAGCTTTGGTAGGACTTAAGTTTAAAATAGGGAGAAAATATATTTTGGAGGGCTTGAAAAACCCCTCTTATGATCTTCTATTTATAATGATAGAAAGATGATACAATGGGAAGACAAAAGATCAAAAGGCTGCCCTAGACTCTAGGCACAGAACTAGGGACAGCTGAAAGAGGTTCCCAACACACTATAATTACTCTAACATATATAGACTTAATAATTATTCTAATACTTCCCTTTAAGCTAGAGCATACAAATTGTATGTACCAAGTTTGGAACAAATAAATTCAATCTGAGGTCCCCTTAAAGACTTGATCAACATATCTGCAAGTTGGTCATTTGACCCAACAAACTCAGTACAAATTTCCTTGGATAACAATTTTTCCCGAATAAAATGACAGTCAAATTCTATGAGTTAAGTCCTCTCATAAAATACTGGATTTAACGCAATGTGGAGAGCAGTGTGGTTATCACAATACATCTACATGGAGCCTACATGAACTAACTAACAACTCCAACTACAAAAGATAGATCAGGCCTCGTAATAGTAAGATAAATTAGTTTTCCAACTAGTCGCCTATATCTTTCTTGATCAGGGAATGATACACCTTCTTCTGTCTTTAATTTTTTTTTATTTTGGTCCATAGAACCATCTACTGGCCTACAGTCAAGCATATCTGTTTCTTGTAGGATATCAAGAGCGTACTTCCTTTGAGAGATTATAACCCCATCTTTTGTCTGAGCTACTTCAATGCCTAAAAAATATTTTAGACTCCCAAGATCTTTGGTTTGAAAATATTTACACAAGTACTCCTTCTGTTGAGATATTCCAGCAGCATCACTTCCTGTAATGACTATATCATCAACATAGATATTAGGTAAATGCATTTCCCAAGAAAGGTATTACAATAAAAAACTCAATGATCTGTTTCATTGCATTTTAGCCAAACTTTTGAACAACTAAGCTGAATTTATCAAACCAAGCACGTGGTGATTGCTCGAGGCCATAAGAGAAAACGACACAACTTACAAACCTTACTAGACTCCCCCTGAGCAACAAACCCAGGAGGTTACTCCATATACACTTCTTCACGATCACCATATAGAAAGCATTTTTGATATCCAATTAATCGAGTGACCAGTGACGAATTGCTGCCCTTGCAAAGAAGAGGCGAATTGTAATCATCTTGGTCATTTGAGAGAAAGCATCATTATAATCGAGGCCATAAATTTGAGTGCATCCTTTTGCAACTAATCATGCCTTGAGGCGATTGACTTCACCAGTAGGACCAACTTTAATGGTATAGACCCATCGACATCCAACGGCCTTTTTCCCAGGTGGAAGGGGAACTAATTCCCAAGTATTACTATGGTTAAGAGCCTGCATTTCTGCAATCATGGTTTGTCATCATTGCTTCATTCACATTTTTGGAAATAATAATAGAAGACACTGACGATAAAAAAGAATAGGAAGACGACAATCAGCGATAACTAAGAAAAGTATAAATAGAATGAAAAAAGGAGTTTTATGATTGAGAGAGGAGGATGACATCCTATTAATAAGAAAACAGACACTTAGGATGGCATCTCCCCAATGATGGACAAGAATGTTAGCACCAAGCAAAAGGGTACGAGCAATCTCAACTAAGTGTCTATTTTTCCTTTCTGATATAACATTTTGTTGTGATATGTGAAGACAAGTAGACTGATGCAATATACCATATGAACTTAAGACGATAGAGAAATTAGATGAGAAGTACTCTTTTAGCATTGTTTTAATTACTTGACCGAACTTATTCTTAACTTCATTAAAAAAGGATGTGAATGTAGGTAACAATTCAACACCATCTTTCATAAGATAAACCCATCTCGAATATTCATCAATAAACATAACAAAATACCTAAAACCAAAGAATGAAACACAACTTGGTCCCCAATTATCATAATGGATAATAGAAAAACTACAATTACACCTTGATTAAAACCTTTTAGGAAAGGTAGATCTAACATATTTTCCTAGTCGACAAGACTCACATTCTAAAGTTTGGAGACTACTAAGCTTAGAGAACATTTTTGTTAATTTTGACAAATGAGGATGACCTAACTGATCATGTAACAATTTAGGACTTAGAGATGCAACACAGGATACATGTAAATTAGATCCAAAATGGTATAAACCTCCAGCTTCATATCCTTCTCTAATTCGTCTCCCTGAACCACGCTCTTGTATAACAAAGGATTTGTTATCAAAGGTTATTGAAAAATTAAACATTTTGGTTAACTGGCTTAATGAAATCAAATTGAGGACAATGAGGAACAAAAAGGACAGATTTGAGATTTAGGTAAGGAGAAAGAGAAACTTGACTGACTCCCTGTGAGAAAATTTTAGAGCTATTTGCCAAGGTTATGAAATGATGGTTTTTTTGAAAAGAAAGAGATGAGAACAAGGAGGTATTTCTAGAGATGTAATCAAAAGCACCTGAGTCAATTATCCATGAATTTTGACCTTCCATGGATTGGGAAATGTAAGTTGTTGATGTATTGGGAGTTGTAGATGTTTGTGCCAAGCTATTAGATTTTAACCTCAGATACTTTTGATATTCTTCATTAGAAAATTTGGAGTCAAATGATTCAGCCTTATAGATATTGGCTATGTTGTTGGGACAACCATGCAAGGAGAAACAATTTTCTTTAGTGTGACCCATCCCTTTACAGCATGTGCACTGAGGATGTCCTCGACCACCATGACCTCTAATATTTTGTCCTCCTCTTCCTCGTGTGGAAACCATGACAGAAGGTTCCACAAGTTCATGAACTTCCTTGCTTTGAGGTGTTGGAACTCGAAGGAGTCATGTGGTTAGGCTTTCCAACGAAGGGACTTCATGACCTATTAAAAGTTGATCTCTAATATGATCAAAATTTGGATGTAGCGCATGAAGGATCATCACCATATAGTATTTGTCAAGTTTCTTCTTGATCTCATCCAAAGACTCCACCACCAAAAACATCTTCAGTTCTTCAACGGTAGATTAGGCTACAGTCATGAAAGATACCATATCATGATCAGTATGTTTGAGAGACGCAAGCCTATTTGCATAGTCATAAAGGCGTTGAATATCATTTGCAAAAATATTTTGAGCTTTCTTCCAAAAGGAGTTACAGGTTTTAAAATCTCTAAGAGTACCTAATAATTTTGGTTCAACAGACTGCCACAACAGGGCACACAACTGAAAATCAACCTACTTCCATTGCTCACCTTTCTCAGGAGGCACATTGCTTCCATCTTGTTCAAGGTGGTTATGATAATCTTGGCCAAGGAACCACATTTCAACATATGCAGACCAAGAGAAAATTTTTCCCATTTAGTTTTTCAGAAGTAATGGAAGAACTTCTAGAGAATGAGACAGCAACTCCTGTAGACATTTCTAACAGGGGAGAAGAAAATAACAAAGGTACACGAAAACCCTAAGGTAACCTTCAACTAGGATGACTTTGGACCTTACCGGAATGAAGTTTAAACAACCAAAACGGAGATAGCAAGTTTCGACAAGACCAATGGTGGTGGCGCAATGGATTTCTACCAAGTGGAAGGCAATGCATGGGTGTCACACACCTAGCAGCAGCAAACAAAAGTTGGGCGCATGGGGAACAATCAACCCCCGGTACCCGGTTGGTTATCGCCCAGAGAGACACTTCAAATTCGGTGGTCGCCAGTGAAAACAACAACGGACAGCAACGAACGACAACAAATATTGTGTCAAGGATGCCTGAGCTCAGCAGAGCGAGATTGACCACCAACTAAAGTTTAAAACAGGGAGAAAATATATTTTGGAGGGCTTGAAAAACCCCTTTTATGATCTTCTATTTATAATGATAGAAAGTTGATATAATGGGAAGATGAAAGATCAAAAGACTACCCTAGACTCCAGGCACAGAACTAGGTACAACTGAAAGCAATTCCCAACAAACTATAATTACTCTAACATATATAAACTTAATAATTATTCTAATAGTAGGAACACGAAGAATAGTCACCCAAGAACTATCCATGGGAGCTTTTGTGGGAACATTCACTATCTAATCATGAATATGAGAATAATCTATGGGTAGAACATATCCTGTGAGGAACATGAAGAACTTTTGCTATTTTCAAGTTTTGCTACAAGAGTGGTAATAGAGAAGCAATTCATTAAAATCATAAAGGACAAACCTAGATATGTAACCATAGAATCCTTAACTTCACATGCAATAATGATGGTCAAGAGATCTTCACATACCTAGTAAAGTCACCCAAAACTATTTGTAAAGGGTTGTTTTGCTTATGTCCAAATTGCATGACAAGTTTTGTGAGTGCAAAAGGCATTACAAAGAGATAGGTGAATGGTAGCATAGATGATACAACATTACCAAGCATCAACCTTTTTCCACATAGGGTAGTTTGCCTCTAGGACCACAACTTCTATTTGGGTAAGATGTACCTCATAACCCTATCCAACAAGCCAATGTTCAAGGTGAGAAGCCTAAGAGGTCTTACCATCCAAAACTCTGAAGGGAGAAATGCAAGTACAAGGCTGGTAAAAATTTGAGTGTCAAATTTAGAGGTAACCATTAGACGAGAGGGGAGAGAAATTCCCATAAAAAAAATTCTTATGTGTACATTTAATTTGGTGTGAAGAGTGACTCTGGTGCTGCCATTGGGAACAATATTTTCGCATGAACATTGTTTCCATAAAAAATACAGAAATTAGAAAACATTCGTGATTTCTAAAAAAATTTACATCTACAAGCAGTGGGTCATAGGGTCGTGGATTAGGGTTTCTCTCTCGTTAGGATCTAGATACCATGTTCAAAACAAAGAAATCAAGAAGACAAATGATGAAATTTGTGTATTTAGACCACAACATAGCTATCCAATTTATAGGAGAAAGAACATAATTACAAAATATTCATTTTCCCTATTTTAGGCTAAGAACATAAATATAAAATCACTTTAATTGAAGCTAATATCATTATTTGATCCTATTAAGGTTCCTACATAAAACCAATTGGCAATATGTGAAGTAACCTAATAGGTATTTAAACCATACCACATGACATGAGGCAGGCGATGTAAAACTTCCAATATGCCCCCTCCAACGAAGCCTGCTGAATTAGGCAAAGAGTACTTTTGATCCACAACGAAAGGGCAACTCTTAGCCCAAAACAACAACTAGAAAGAAGTTAGGTTTTAACTCTTATATCATGTTAAGGTTCCAACATAAAACGAATTAACAATATGTAAAATAGCCTAGTAGGTATTTAAACCAAACCACATGACATAAGGCAGACAATGTGGGACTTCCAACAGATCCTAATATCATATATATAGGATTCTAACAAAAACAAACTAGGGAAATATGTAACAAACTAAGAATTTGTTCTTAATAAAGAAAAGGAGGAAAATATGTATCAATTACAACTTTGGTTATGGAGCTGCTTGAATATATCCGGCAGACTTGTACAAACAGTATGGATGAAGTGATCATGATGAAGCTTGAAGCAGTATGAAGAAATGAGACAGTTCAGTCAGTTCTAGAAGAATTTCTGAAATTCCACTTCAATAGGCAGAATTTCAAAATCCTTGATTTATGCTCAACCAAAATGCTTAGAGATTTTAAATTCACTAGTTCGGTCTCCTAGCAAACTATTTCATTTTATTGGTCTTAAAAGTTACATTGACTACTAAAATCTCTTAATTTAAGTGCACTCTATGTATGCCCAGTTGTTCCTATGTCATAAATCATAACATGGGCAAATTTTTTATGCACTAAAATTAATGGTGTTATCAAAATCTAATTGCAAAGGTAAGTAGTCAGCATTCCCAATTGCCTAAATTCATGACCAATCAAATGTGATAAACTATTCAAAAGTCATGGAGCTTCAGATACTATTTAACCTAAGGAGGGTAAATATAATCTCCATTGAAACTTGTAAAAAACAAAATCACAAGAATTCAATATAATAACAACAAAGGGTTCAAAAATCACCAGTATAGTAGGCCTCTACAAGGTTGACAATTCACCACTACTAATATAAATTGTTTTAAATCTCAAACACACAAAACGTTATCGATTTCCAATCTAATCATGTTACCCACCTGCAATTGGGGGCAAGCACCTAACAGTGTCTCGAGTGTCTGCAAATGGTACTCATCTGGAAAAACCTGGATTATGCACTCCATGAGATAAAATTGAGCAAGCTCATCTTTACAGTTGACAACCTGCTCAAGTCAATATAGATAGCTGAGAGACATTATAACACCAAGGATTACTATAGGAGAAAAATTATATTTTGGAGAGAAAATGTACTTTATTAGACCTGCTCTAAGACACTGGGAAGGACGGTGTCTTTGTACATCTCAAGGTTCACACCCTCTATCTGACTCAGAACGTGTAGATTCTTCCCTACCTAATAATTTGAGAACAGAAAGTCATGTAACTTATCTTTCTATGTAAATGCATAACACACTGCTCCATCAGGAAATAGTTTATATTACAAGATCACGCAGCTCGTTCCTTTCTTTTTCCCTCTTCTCTCTTATCCGATCGGGTCCCTGCAGACCAGAAATCCCAATTGAAGGCCTCAGCTCAGGATCGCCAAAGATTAAGCATGATTCACAAGCACCATAACACCTGCATGGCCAGAAATCATGTTCTCATGATTTATTTTTACCTCAATGGCTATGGCATGCAAGTACTGTGGTGCTATGCATCTCATAAGATAACATTTGAAAAATGATAAGGAAGTTCAGTGAACCTGATGCTGCAACTGCAACCGAACCCAAAGCTTATTCATTTCTGTGAAATTCTGTAGAACAAATTCAACTGCAACCATCACATCATTAGATTCCCTGCAGGACAGCAGAGGCACCTTTCAATCTCCGCCGTTTTAATTCTTGTTCACTCAGCACCAAATATAATACCAAAATATAATACTCCATATTGAAAATTTAAACCATAGACAGAGAAGAAAATTAAAAAAAGATAAAAAGATATATTTTCAGTGACTTTCTAATTACTAACCCACCATTAAATGAAAGAACAAATTTAAATCCCCCTACTATACCCTTCTATCAATCCTCCAATTTAATACATGAAGAAAGTATTGATTTTTTTTTTTTATATTATGAAGAAATTACATATACTTAGATTCTTCAAAAACTATTAATCCATCACCAACCAAACAATAACCTTACCCCTCTTCGTATTCGTATCCAATATCAGGCAACTTATCTTTACTGACTTGAGAAAGGTAGCTCCTCAAAAACAGACCGCGAATTGGATGCTGAACACCGCGACACATTTCCACTAGATCTTTAAGAACATCCCTTACCGGAGCATCCTTGCATCGAAGGTAAACAGATCCTACCGTGCAAAGCAGATACCTGGCAGTAAATTAACTTCGCAAACAGTGAGACCGCACAATTATTCAAATTCAAATCATAAGCACGGGCATTGGTACTCGATGCACAACAATATTTAAAAGAAATGTAAAAAAACACTTACAGTCTAGGTAATATATTTCCAGCGTGCTGAACAAGCTCGTAGAGATCAGCAATGGAAACGCCGTGTCTTCTTTCGTCTTTGAAGAAAATCTCCAGCCTCCGAAGCTCATCGAAGGCTCTCATATCTACAACAGAAACACCGAATCGAATCGAATCGAATCGAATAATTGAATTGAAAGCCTAAAGTCCAAATCACTACTATACGCGATGCGAATAATAAGCGAAGAAGGTTTTACTTACACAGTTCGTAGTATTTGTGTGGTGAGAGCCTGGAAGTTCGAAGTTCCGATAGCATCTGCGCGGAGTATTTGAGAGCGTCTCTGAGATTGTCTTCATCCTGCAGGAGCGAACCGTGAGGAATTGAGAAGGAGAATGAATTAGGTTACGAAGAAATGGGAGAATACCAATGCGCGATGCATGAAGAATGCGTTGTGCTGAATCCCGGCGATACCCTCGGCGAGCCATTTCTCTTCGTCTTCGAATCTCTCTGCAATCATTGCTCTTCCGATTGGGCAAGATCGCTCGTCCACAGTTACAGGTTAAAACCCACCACCACGCTGAGGTTAGTTTGGGACGTACAATTGAATCGCAAGTCAAGATTCTTGACGCGAATAATAAATAAACCACGATAAATTCAGCGCTTAAAAAATAAATAAACAAAAACTTTAACTTGGATTTCACTTTTTTGTTTGAATAAAATTATTTTAGGTTTTAGTATAAAAAAATTTCTTTAAATTTTTTACATTTAATACAGTCTTTATTTTCGAAGTATTTTTGTTTTAAAAACTTTAAACTGAGTAATATTTTATGTAAATATTATTTTCGAAGTATTTTTGTTTTAAAAACTTTAAACTGAGTAATATTTTATGTAAATATTTTTTATAATCTCATTTGATTATAAATTGTTTAAAGTTTCTTAACTTTTAAAGATGTATACATTTATTAAACTTTGTATTGTGATTTCTAATTTGATGTAAGCTTCTTCTTTTTTTACTGACAAAAAAACGTGAATAATTTATTTATAATCATTATAGTTTAATAAGTTATTTAAAATACGAAAATTGTTAAATACTTATAAATTTTATTTTTTTATAATAATTTTAATATAAATATATTATTCAAACAAATAAAGAAGTCACATTATAAATAATATAAATATTATTCATGTTAATAATTTTAGTCATAATATCTTATTTCAAATAAATAAATAACTCACTTAATATAAATATTACAAATAAGTCATATAGTTGCATGGTGTCTTCATTTATAAAGTGTGTTATTCTCAATTGTCCATATTTTTTATTTATAAATTTTAAATATGAATGTTGAATTTTTTTTTTTTTAATATATTTATTGAATAACTTGATATTTTGTTATATATCTTTTATATTATTTATTACATAAGTTTGATTTTATGTCTAGATATTACTTGAATGTCTATTTTAAATACTTTCATAATAAATCTTTGTTTTTTTTTCAACACATGTAACATGTTACATGTTTCCCTTCTTGTACAGACATAATCATGGGAAAAAGACATTTTGTCAGTATTTTGAATAAATCTCAATATATTGGATATTTTTTATCTTTCTTTGAAAAGTCTAGATATTATCTTGACTTCATTTTTTTTATTTTTTTTTTATGATAAGTTAAAAATTTTATTTGATTCGTGTGGTAATATAAATATATTTTATTTCATATAATATTTTGAATTTGAACTCTTACCCATATATTTTTTACATTATATTGATTAATATGTAGCTAATTTTTTTATCTAGTTATTTATGAAGTGTAGATTGTCAAAATTTTATTAGATGAGTTGATAAATATCATATGTTCAACTTGTTTTATTAAGGTATTAGTTAATCAACATTTCATCAATTGATTAATGTTTCATAATATAAGATGATATTTAGTTTATGATGAGTTTATTAGTTGGCGTAATGTACATTAACTAATATGTTGTTCAAAAGACTCATATGACGATTCATTCATTAAATGATGTGTCTGACTATTTCATTTAACTTTTTTACTAATTTCTTGCGGTACACCTAGCATATATGTTAATACTTCAAAATTTAATAATATTTATTATTATTAAAATTATAAGTTTGATTTTTTTTTCAACATACTTATTCTCACACAATTAAATAATTTACTATTACAATTACAATAGAGCTATTAAAGAAATAAAAATACACTTTTTAAATATTCATTATTTAAATAGTAAGTGTGTCTTTCATAATTCTCACTTCTTCATTCATATGCTAAGCTTCTTTTGAGTGTCTACTTGTTTTATGTGTGATTGAATTTTTCATCTAGGTACATCTTTATCAAACCTTTCTTTTGCCATTTTATTTTGTTATGCATGATGCCTTTTTTCCTATTTTGGTTCCTTTGATGACTCAACCAACTCAATGTTCATTCAATCACCATTGGTTTAAGGTTCATCTCATTGGGTATGATCCTTTCACATAAAGAAGTCTTTTTGACACTTCTAGCGATTTCTCATGTGAGGAGGATGTTATTGCAACTATAGTTGCTTTTGTTGACCATTTCATTATGGAGGTTGTCTTTCTTTTTGTTGTGTTAGAGAGTTGTTATGGGGGTTATTAATAAACTCAAGGTCCTTATCCTAGTATAAAAGAAGCCTAAGGCCCAGAGCGAGTTAGGGCTAGTCTAAGCACTACTAGGTTCAACGAAGGACAAGTTCCTTCCTATCTAAAATCTTTAATTCCTTTAAATACTAAAAAAAGTGAATTATTATTCATTTGACTTCACATCTCCGTCCTTAATACAAGAATTTTTTCCAGCTTTCAAATGTTATGATGACACAAATGTTGAACTCGTCCTTGTCAAAGTTTGCTCGGCTGACAATCAAGTAAACATAAAACTTACTTTTAATATTGAATATTTCATTTTCTTGTATAATTATCTTTTCAATGACTTAGACATTTTTATGGTCCAATCTAGTGCCACCACTAGTAAGTTTCATCCTAATAGTTGGGCAATTTTGAAAGCCTTTTAATTTTGTGTTATACTCGAAATTCAACCTATAACCAACAAATTCATGTTTTATCAATTGAATCCAAAAATGAGGTTGATTAAACTATCTTATCAGGTCTTAATACAATGGTCTTTTTCACCCCAACACCTTTTCTTTTTAAAACTTCAAAAATAGTTTCTTAAAAATAAATTATGCTTGAGAAGTCTTTAACAATATTTCAAAAATATGACTATACATGCTTACAATATGGGATAAGGAGCATATACAGATTTTGTCCAATTTTCTTTGCCCTATTAGTAACAAGAACTCCCCACAGTTCCTTTCGTCAAAGATTAGAAAGCTCAATTTTTGGGTAAGGGTCTTATTTACTTAGTTTTTTGAGGTTTTTCTTATATGAATGTTAACATTTGTCATTTATGCAAAAATTATGCGTCTTTACTTTGATTATAAGAATATTAGAGTTAAAGTTGGAGCTTCACTGGTCATTTTGGTCGTCCAACTCAGTTCATCATTTGAGAGGCCCCCAAAGAAGTCCAAGATCTTTATGGTTGACCTCTATTGCTCTCAAGAAGCTCAAGTGAAAAAGGTGATCAAGGGTGTTCACAGTTCAAATCTAACTCCTAAAGTTACTCCTAAGTGAAGATTTTATCATTACCTTAACAACCTTTCTTTACAATAACCATCCCTAGGTCATTCTCCTTGGTCTACCATGCTGCTAGAAGCAAGGAAGACCAATTGATCAAGATGGATCTTGTGTTTATTAATATGTCTAAAGTGAGTTCACTTTGGCATGTCAAAATGACAATGGAGGAATGAACCAAAAGGAAGCTTTCTCTCCCCTTTCAATATGGAGATGTTCAAGACAATTGACCCACTAAGTTGTTTGGACTCCACCAAGGTCATGTTGGCTTGGTGTATAGCCATGTACGCAATTAGAAAAACTCTATATAGGAGGAGCACAATAAAGATTTGTTATGTGGAAAAGGAATAGTTAGTTGTAAAAGCAAAATGAGTAACTCCTTGCTCGACTTTTTAATCATGAAGTAGTTATTTCTAAGACCAAAGCGAATGAATTTATAGTTGCCAAGTTAGTTGAGGTCAAGATGGAAGGGCTCAATTTAAATAAGAAGCATGAGTGTCGCAACCAAAATTGTGACTCGGACGACAAAATTAAATTTCTAAATGAAAGAAAAAACAATAGAATCACCATCAATATTTATTTTAAAGAAAATATCAAAAAAAACTTTCAAAATATAAAGAAAGTGATATGTGAAATAAAGGTTGGATTTCGAGTCAATTATGTATAGGGAATGTATTAGCACACTACAATATCCGTTCTAACAACGGTTACCTTTAATTAGATGTGAAAAAGTTAAATATCTTAGAATTATTTATTTTATCCCTTAAAATTATATATATATATATATATATATATATTAAATGTTGTTATTAAAAATAAAATATTATATATTATTTTATATTTTTGGCTCGATAGAGATTATTTCTCTACTCCTATGTATCCCAGGTGTAATGGAGAATCGAGTGACATAGTTCTTTCTTAACAATATTTGTGAATAATTTATTTTAATTTATCTATTTGTGATACTAAGTTAAATGTATGTATAAAATTATTTTAAAGTTGAATAATTATGTAATAATCAAATTAGAAGTACATATAAAGTGATTATCATTTTGTAATTTCTATTTAAATTTAAATCATATATATATATATATATATATATCAAAGTATTTTATTATAATCAAGTCAAAAATATATTTGAAGTGATTATTATAATTTTGTAAGAACAAAATTAGATGTGCATCGAAGGTGGTTAAACATTTATGAAATATTTTCTTACTACTCTAATAACAATAATATTGTATATTTAATAACACTTGAAAAAAAGAAAGTGATAATTATTAAAATTTAATTGTCAATATACTAACTTAAATCATTTTTAAGAAAAAAAAGTAGAATCATTTTATTTGAAATTCGGAAAAAATAATAATAATAATAATAAAATTTTTGACTCATTACTATTTGTAATTAGTTTTTTTATGTTGTCTAGTTTAACAAAATAAAACAAACAAACAAAACATTAGGCCCAATAACTCATAAAAATAAAAATTCTTTTAAATTTATTTTACTATTTGAAGCTTATTTTTGTTATTTTCACCCTCAAACCCAAATAGAAATTATTTTTTTAATCCAACTTAGTTTATCGTTTCAAAAATCTCATGTCAATCTACTGGGCCCAGGATTAATTCGCTTCACTATTAAAAGCCTGTTTTTACTATTTTTACTCCCAAACAGATTTGGGTCATACCTCTCTTAAGCCCATATCTCCTTATTGAGCATATGCTTCTCTTTAACCTTAATGCTAATAATCCTAACACTGAAGGAACACACAAAGGGGAGGAGGCATCGCATGGGATGAGAGTGAGGGGAAACACAATGCGGGCCAAAGAAGCGGCGCGGTGGCCATAGTGGTTTAAGGTTAAGGTTCATGCAATGAAGAGTGAAGAGATGACGTGCATGGTGAGGGATAGTGTTGCGGGTTCGATAGTAGTTTGAGTTGAGGGAGGAGGTGGGGGTTGTGATGAGAGGTGGCTCACGGTGCTTATTTAGGGTTCGGAGAAGGCGACCAAGTTGTGGTTAGGATGTGGATGGTTAGATTGTGGTGGCGTGCGAGTGCCAATCGCGATGGTTAGGGAGGAGAGGTGACGACGATGATGGCGGTTTTGGTGCGGGGGAGGAAAGGGTTCGTGATTTTGGGGGAAAAAGGTTAGTGGTCTGGTTCACGATTCGCGATGGCCTCATGATGGTGGTACTGGTGGCCGGTTCCGATGAGGGCAAAACGGAGGTGGTCGTGTGGGGGTTCCACCGGTGAAGGTGTAAGCCGCAAGTGGCTAGGAGAGGAGAGTGGAGGCAGTGCGATGGGCTTACTGTGGTGGCTGCCAATGGTGATTGTAAATGGATTTTGGTTTGTTTTTATAATTTTTATTAGTTGTTTTAAAATATATACAATTTGGTATCACATTAGGTATACAACAAATAACAACAAATACTTCATGGGCTACAAATATTACAATACTACATATTATAATACTATGTAGAAAGTAGATAATGGATTGGGAACCTGTGTATGAATGTTGTTGGAATTGTGTTGTTTATTGCTATTGCTTTCTTTTTATCTGTGTTCTTGAAAAAAAAATCCTTTTTGTTGAGGTTACATTTATCTAGTAACATGCAGGGCAATGTTGGTGGTTGAAGCAAGATTATGATGTTGGCTGGAGCATGATTGTGTTCGTGGCTGAAGTAGTCTAGGTGGTGGCTGGAGCAATGTAGTAGTGGAGCAATCATGAAAAATTGGAAGTGGGCTCGAGGATCCATTACAATTTAAAATACTGAAAATTTGACCTGGGACCTGATATAAAGCTATGATTGGAGATGTTGAAAATTTAGAAGTGAGCTCGGGAGATCCAATATAAAACGTGATTTATAAATGTTGAAAAATTTAGAAATGGACTCTAGAGATCCATATATAAAGCTATGATTTGAGATGTTGAAAAATTTAGAAATGAGCTCGGGAGACCCAATAAAAAACTTGTGATTTATAATTGTTAAAAATTTTAGAAATTGGCTCAGGAGACCCATTATAAAACTTGTGATTTTAAAATATTGAAAAATCAGGAAGTGGGCTCGGGAGACCCAATATAAAACTTGTGATTTTAAAATACTGAAAATTTGAAGATGGAAGGTGGTTTCGGGGCCTAATATAAAGCTGCGATTTGAGATGTTGAAAACTTTAAAATAAACTCAAGGACTTAATGTGGAAAACTTTGTAATGCATATAATTTAAAATTGTCTAGGTTAAATTGATTATTTATGCATATGAGTAGAAATTTGAGTAGAAGTTTGTGCATAGGTATTTATTCTTAACTTAAACAAGTAATGAATGATATGTGATTCCTTAATAAAGTGTGACATGTAATGCATGATATGTAGAGATGACAATTAAACTCGTACCCATGGGGACCGATTTGTCTTTGTCTCGAGTTTAACAGAAAAAAACCAAGTTGATCGGGGGTGAGGGCGAGTTTGAGTTTTCCCCGCTTTAAAAAGTCAGGGGCAGGGATGAGCAATGCAATCCCCACCCTAGTCCCATCCCCGTCCCGCTCGATTTTATATTTAAATTTAAATTTTAAATATTAATATTTTAAAAGTTTTTCTTTTTCTTTTTCTATTACATAAGGTTAATTTTTTTATATTTCACCATTTTTACTTTTCTTCTATCTACTTTTTAATTCTTTTATCTTTTTTAATCTTTTATATCAATTAGTTTATTACATTATTCTCTTTCTCTTACCTTTCACTTTTTCACATTTTCTTAATCTCTCTAATCAATTTATTTTTTTCAATATGTTTAATCAATTTGATGAACACAAAGCTAATTTTTTTCTTCTTTATCCTTTTCTAAATATTTTATATAAATATTATTAGTAACTAATATTATTTTATTTATAATTTATATTTATTAGGTTTTATTATGTCATTTTTTCGGATTTTATTATTCTTATTTGTCATATATCAAATTTTATCTTAATAAAATAATTGTATTTTAAATGATTAAAATAATTGATAATTTAAACTTTTATTATTTTGAACTAATTAAATAAGAATTAACTTATTAAATATTTCCTTATAAATTATATATTTCATATTTTTAAATGATAACTTAAAAACGAATTAACTTATACATGTAATCAAATGTTTGAATATAATAATAATAATAATAATAATAATAATAATAATAATAATAATGTTAGAAGTATTCAAATGTTTGAATACAATATTATAATAATAATAATAATATTATTATAAATATTTTATATATATGTAAATAAAAATGATTAAATATTTCTTTTACATATATATTTTAATATAAATATAATAAATTAAAAAATATATTTAATTAATAATAATTACAAATTATAAAATTATAAATATTTATTTATGTATAAAAAATACATAAAAATAGTAAAATTAATTTATTATATATAAAATTATTTTTTAAATAACATAGATTGGGGACGGGACGGGGCTCGAGAAATCCGAAATCCAACTGGGACGGAGATGAAGATTTAATTTCTAACCCTGACGGGAATCGGAGACGGTTAAAAAAGTTGGGGACGAAGATCGGGAGAAAAAATCCGCCATGTTGCCATGTCTAATGATATGCAAATTCATGATAGGGTACATGATGCATGTACTTTTAACTAATAATTTTATTTTATTATTTTTTCTTTAGTGCACCTTTTTCCACGCTTTGACCCCTTAAGATTCCAAATATACCAAGATTCATGGAGGGGAGCAATCTTTGAATTATATTTTCGTTCTAAAACATGTTGAATCCGTCTTGTTCAATTGGATAATGAATATGTTTTGCTACTTAAGATTCTCAATTTTCAACAACTAGTTGTTCCAGCCCACATCATTTCATTTTTTTTAAATCATCGCATTTTTCATGGTTTTTATTTAATTATAATGCATTATTAACATTATGGTGTGTTCCTTTATTGGTATATAATCATAATGAAACAGAAAGCAATGGTGGGTGAGACAATTTATATTTATTGTTGGGAATGAAAATAGTGGATACAAGAAAAAAAATTTGTTTAAGGAATATGTAATAATACAAACATAAGTGACAATTTGATAGTTTTTTAATAACAATATTAATTGTCATGTTTATAATTTTGAAGAGCTCATCCATCAACTTTTGCAAACATACTACACTTTATAACGTATTCCTTAAGTAGCTTTGTGTATATCAATCTTTTAACTTGCCCTCACATTTTTTAACTTTTTCACCATTGTAGGTTGCACTAACTTTTACATAAACCACCCTTTAAGGTTTTCAGTCAAGTAATTTTATTTGCCTCTATTTTACCTAAGCTGCTCCTTTTGAGTTTTTAGCTTATCGGATTGCTCAATTTTGCCTAGACCGTCTTTTCAGATTTTCAACCTAATGAGCCATTTTTCTTTTTTTTTTTTATGCATAGTATTTCTTAACTACTTCAGAATCGATCGGGGGTGATAAATCATTATCATCCATGTTTGAAAAGATAAGGGCACCTCTTGAAAATGTTTTCTTTACCACATATGATCTTTCATAATTTGACATCCACTTTCCTCTTTGATCTTTTTGAGTTGGTAATATCTTCTTGAGGACCAAATCTCCTTCATGAAATTGTCGAGGGCAGACTCTTTTTTCATAAGATCTTTTCAACCTTTTTTTATACAATTGTCCATGACATAGAGTGATTAATTTTTTTTTCAATAAGATTCAATTGATCAACACGAGTCTGGATCCACTCGGCCTCCTCAAGTTCTGTTTCAGCCAACCCCCTTAGAGAGGGAATTTCTACTTCAGATGGAAGCACCACCTCTATCCTATACACCAAAGAATATGGAGTTGCCCCTGTAGAAGTTCGAACAAAGGTGTGATATCCATGTAAAGCGAAGGGTAACATTTCATGTCAATTCTTGTATGTAATTACCATCTTTTGAACAATCTTCTTTATGTTTTTATTCGCTGCTTCTACTACCTCATTCATCTTCGGATGATATAGTGATGAATTATGATGTTAAATCTTAAAATTATCACACAACTCTTTCATCATCTTGTAATTCAACTTAGCCACATTGTTAGTAATGATCTTGTTTGGCAAATGTAGCGACAAATTAAATTCTTTTTTATAAACTTAATCATTACATTCTTTGTCACACTGGCATATGATGCTACTTTGACCCATTTGGTGAAGTAATTGATTGCCACTAAGATGAAACGATTTCTATTTGATGTTTTACGTTCGATTGGTCTGATTACATTCATACCCACATTGCAAATGGCGACGGTGTAGCCAAAACATTTAATGATGATGCTGGTGTATAGATATTATCAACATATGTTTGACATTTGTGACATTTTCTTTTATAGTTACAACAATCACTTTCCATGGTTGACCAATAATAGCCAGCTCTTAGGATTTTCTTTTTCATTGCATGTTTATTTGCATGTGTTCCAAATGAATCCTCATGAACTTCTTCCATTATTTTCTTAGCTTCAACTATGTCAACACACCTAAGCAACATAATGTCATGTTTTCTTTTATATAACACATCATCATTCAAGAAATAAATCTCATTGTCAACTTCTTGAATGTTTTTTTGTCATTTTCTGAAGTATTAGGAAGAAATTTTCTATCTTTCAAGTAAACTTTGACGTCATAGAACCATGGTTTTCCATCTGACTCTTCTTGTATAGTTTGACAATATGTTGGTTGCTCTTGATGATGCATTTTTATCAAGGGCATATCCTCTTAGCTTATTTTTTAACATTGAAGATAAAGTAGTTAAAGCATCAGCTAACTGATTTTCCTCATGAGGGATATGATGAAAAGTTACTTGATTAAACTACTCAAACAATCCCTTAATATAGGAGTATGGGACTAACTTTGAATCTCGAGTTTCCCATTCTCCTTTAAGTTGATTGATAACTAAGGCTAAATTTCCAAAGACTTCCAATACCTTGTCCTTGAATTCAAGAGTTGCTAGTACCCCATCGTACATGCTTCGTATTCTGCCATATTATTTATGCAATGAAAATCTAGTCTTCCGCAGAGTGGAATCATCAATATTATTGGAGGCCTTTGGAGTTTCCACATATTCTCATGCAAGATCTACTTCAAAGTATCTAAAAAATTGATTAATCAACATAGCATATGGCAGTTTATAATCAACCAATTTTTTTGCTTCTATCATATGATAACAAAAATCTAGTTTACACGAATACTATTTTCAATGCAATACATGAGAGTTAAGTCA